GTCCATGCACTCTGCCCCAGGCCCAGACTAGTGGAACTCCGTGTTCATCAAGAACTGATAGAAGCCCCTTCACTTACCGTTAGCATTCTATGGAGAGGGAACGTGGACACAGGAGTCATTCCAAAGTCACTAAAAACAACAGACATATCCCTACTCTACAAAGTTAGCAGTAAAGAAATTGCAAAGAATTACAGACAGATAGCAATAACGTCTCACATCGTAAAAATCTTTGAAAAAATTCTAAGAAACAAGATCTCCAGCCACTTAGATACCCATCACTTACACAACCCAGGGCAACATGGATTTAGAGCAGGTCGCTCCTGCCTGTCCCAATTACTGGACCACTATGACATGGTCTTGGATGCTCTGGAGGATGAACACAATGCGGATGTAGTATACACAGACTTTGCGAAAATCTTCGACAATGGTGTAATAGCGCACAAAATGCGTGATAAAGGAATAACAGGAAAAGTTGGTAGATGGATCTATAACTTCCTAACAAATAGAACACAAAGAGTAATAATGAACAGTAAAGTCTGAGGCAGCTACAGTGAAAAGCTCCGGTCCTTTTTCTCATCCTCATACCTGGAGTTTACCTGGAGAGGGTTTCGAGGCTCATATTTGACATAGACAGAGATGTAAGCCATAGCTCCGTGTCTTCCTTTGCGGATGACACCCGAACTGCCATGACAGTGTCCTCCATCGAAGACACTGCAAGACTCCAAGCGGACATTAACCAAATCTTTAAATGGGCCGCAGAAAACAATATGAAGTTCAATTAAGAGAAATTTCAACTACTCATACATGGAAAACTTTAGGAAATTTAAACTGTATCAGGCTATACAACAATTTCTAGCCGTACAATAGAGCGAAAAACTAATGTGAAGGAGCTGGGAGTGATAATGTCAGAGGATCTGGTTGTCCTCTCTTCATGCTAAGGATTCTCTACTTTACTTTACTACCAACTTCTAAAGTTGCTTAGAAATGCTAAATGTGAAATGCTAGGAGACAATGCAGCAGAACTGTGCCTCGAGGACATTGAGGAAGTTGTTGATGCAGTAAGAAGACATGAAGAAGAATTAGTCAAAATTGCAGTTACACTGACGAAGGTTAACAAAGCTCTTGAAACTAGAAACAATTCTACTGTTGCTGATGTTCTTGGGTAATTAAGTATTGAATTATTTTGCTATTAATCTCCTTAATTAATATCTGAGAAGTTGAGCGAGTGTGGTAAATATTTAACTATTTTCTTGCGTTTATTAATAAGTATCTTTAGTATTTCGTGCCAACATTTAGTTTAGTAAAGGCATAAAACCATGAAGTAGTTTAATAAAGCTCTAAATTTTTCAAATCTGTTGTGAATTTTTTTATTTAATTTACTTTTGGAAATTCTTGTACAGTCCATCACTATATTCCTGACAAACAATTTAACTCCAACTTTCATAGTTTAAGTACAGGAATGTATAATTTACTTAACTCTGGCAGCCCCCCCCCCTTTTTTTCCACCCCTCTTTCCCTCCCATTTTTCCCCACATATGGGGATAGGATTGAAGAGGTCGTATAAAATAGTAAACATCATTTTACTTCACATCTGAGGTGTGATCCTGTCTTAAGGATGACTGGAGGCAGTCAGGAGCCATGTTTTTTTTTTCCATGCCAGACGCATCCTTACCTTGGGTGTAAAGAGACTTTTGGAAAGAAGCTTCAGATAGGAACCTGTTACCCATGTCCAGTTATTCAACTTCCAAAAATCTGGTTAAAAAAAAAATCCCTACTATTTATGGCATGGAGGTTATATGAGCAGGTACACCAGTACGAGTTTCACAGAATCTCAGTGACATCCCATAAAAGCAATGTCAACTGGTCTTGGCAACTTTGAACCAAAGTGTAACCTACTCCTATTTGCTAATGAAGTTTGTGCCATACACTTCCAGTGAAGGCCGGTCTTGATAATGAACACTGTTGGTCAAGGTACTGTTCTTCTAAACCATACCCCCGGCCAGGATTGAACCCGCGGTCATAGAGTCTCAAAACTCCAGCCCGTACTGTTCTTCTGTTGTATGGTCAACAGATGTACAGTATAACCTCTTAAAATTTAATGTTGGAGCTTGTTGCATTCTTTCATTTGACAAAACACCTAGGAAAATTTGGTGCTTTGAAGGCACATCTTTCTGCCTAGTCACAACTTGCACGGTTCTTGTGCCCTTTCGCTTTGATTCATTGTCACCAGCAGTACACGCATAGATGAAATTAAGACACATGTGCAACATCTGGGTATCTTTATTGTAGACGTTTCGCCATCCAGTGGCTTTATCAATACTGATTCTAGGACATAACTTGAAGACAGTAGAACTATGTACAGAAGATGAGGTAATCAGTCCCTCAACCTTGGAGTTGGTGCGAAGAGCACCGTAGTCGTGTAGATTCTGTAGCAGAAGCAAGGCGCCTGACGCTTATATAGTAACGTCAGGTGGAAATGGGACGTGTAGCAGACGAGGGCATAGTCACTGGTAGGCGGGATTCCCCAGTGGAAGTAGGTCCTACCCAAAGAGATAAGTTAATTGTAGTAGTAGTTGTCGTAGTCTTGCTTCTACTTCAGAATCTCCACGACTACGGTGCTCTTCGCACCAACTCCAAGGTTGAGGGACTGATTACCTCATCTTCTGTACATAGTTCTACTGTCTTCAAGTTATGTCCTAGAATCAGTATTGATAAAGCCACTGGATGGCGAAACGTCTACAATAAAGATACCCAGATGTTGCACATGTGTCTTAATTTCATCTTGTCGGTATTGTATACCATTGTTGTACAACTACACGCATAGACTCACACAGTATAGCTTCATTTTTCTGAACTGTATGAATCTTTTGAATTATTCTGTCCACATTCACATGGCATGTCTGTCTATTTTCATGCTGTTTGTAGCTTATCTGAGATCTGTAATTTCTTATGCATTGTTGTAGATTCTCATGTAAAAGTATGAACATTTTTCGTAAACATGAAGCAAATAATATAAGAGAGGCGAAAGAGTTTGTGGGGATAAAAAAGTATTGGAGGTAAGCTTTCCAAGGTGATCACGGCATGTAAACTACCCTAGGTTTAAGCAAGGCTGTGAGGCTCGTGTAATTTAAAATTCTTTTCACACGGGCTTCATGACATCCTGTCAAGAAAAAGCAGTCTAAAATGGGGGTTTCATTTTATAAAACATGTCTTAGAAATAAATGCTCTGGAAAATGTACAAAGGAGGATGACAAAATTGATCCCATGTATCAGAAATCTTCCCTATGAGGATAGACTGAAGGCCCTGAATCTGCACTCTCTAGAAAGGCATAGAATTAGAGGTGTATAAATGGAAAACAGGAATAAATAAAGGGAATGTAAATAGCGTACTAAAAATATCCAATGGCTTTATCAATACAAATTCCAGGACATAACTTGAAGACAGTAGAACTATGTACAGAAGATGAGGTAATCAGTCCCTCAACCTTGGAGTTGGTGCGAAGAGCACCGTAGTCGTGGAGATTCTGTAGCAAAAGCAAGGAGCCTGGCATGTACATAAGCTTCACGAATTCGACAACTAGTACTACAACTAACCCATCTCTTTTGGTAGGACCTACTTCCACTGTGAAATCCCGCCTACCAGTGACTATGCCCTCGTCTGCTACACGTCCCATTTCCACCTGACGTTACTATATAAGCGCCAGGCTCCTAGCTTCTGCTACAGAATCTACACGACCACGGTGCTCTTCGCACCAACTCCAAGGTTGAGGGACTGATTACCTCATCTTCTGTATATAGTTCTATTGTCTTCAAGTTATGTCCTGGAATTTGTATTGATAAAGCCACTGGATGGCGAAACGTCTACAATAAAGATACACCGATGTTGCATTTGTGTCTTAATTTCATCCAATGAATCTATATACATCCTGTAGTAAGAAGACCAAAACTGAGCGGCATAATGTAGCCCAGGAGAGCACAGTAGGACATCCCTTAGCCATCAAATGTTGTCTACAGTCACATGTTTCACCGACTTCATATGCGGCCTGATAGAAGATACCAAAGAAATATTCAGAACTATTGTGAAGACCTTCATGAGCATATTCATGATGGATAAAACAGAGCCAGTGCGTTTTTTTTAAAGTTACCGTGACCACCCAAATACAGTGTCAGGACGCAGTTCCTGACAAATCAATCAATCAACCATTCTTCTTTACGACACTCCCCTTACCGGGGACTCAATGTCAGGCCACAACATGGACAAGACCCAGTCCGGGACTTTACCGGCGAACCACTTCCAATCCAATCCAAGCCATTCTTTCTTCAGTGTGAATCGTCAATGACCCAAGTCGGTCCAAAACGTCGTCTCAAGTTTCCACTCTCCTAAATGCAAGTTATTGGTCCTTTCTTCCTCCCACAGTATTGTGATTTGTTATTCTTTATTTAAGAAACGCTTGGGCAGTACAGTTCACTCAGCGCTCATAGTCAGAAAAAATATATGCTTCAGAAATATTAAAAAGAAGAATAAAGTCAAGTTAAAATAAGCAGCATCGACCGAAGCTTCTTATTAAGTTATTTGTACTTATAACACTATCATACAAGAACCTCAGAGGAAGAAAAATTAAACTTCGACAGCCACTAGAGTTTCCAAATTATGGGGATACCAATTTCCTTCAAGGAAGGGTTAGGGTAACTTGATATTAATGGAGGGCTCTTAACCCATGGAACTGAAGCTGCTCTCCCGTTCCTTGGATCAAGCCTGGTTCCTCATTCCCAGACACCGCATCACAACTATGGGTTTCGTACCATCTTGTGAATGGAGTAATATTAATTATTTTTCAGCTGATACTCTCAGTATGTATTATGGAGGAGTCTCTCATGTAATGTTATAGCTATGTACCCCATATTAATATGCACTTGTAGGCATTCATGTATGTGAATGCAACCCCCATTAACTTTTATATACCCATGTACTCCTGGCAGAGTACATCCTTGAGACTCACCAGCACATGTTGTACGCGTATAGGAGAAATGCCCAGGTCTTGTGCCAGATTTTCTTGCACAGTGTCAGTGAAACCGACACTGTCACTGTCGTAGTCTTCACGGAAGTCCCCTGGGAAGGCCACCTCAAAGCGTCGGATGTGGTCGTGGCCGCTGAAGCACGAGGTGATGTCGTACACCGTCAAGCTGGGACGCATTGCCTCGAACCTGAAGTATGAGAACCATCTGTCGCGGAGTGAACCAACTGTCGCACAGTGAACCAACTGTCGCAGAGTGTGAAGTTTGAATTATTAACCCAGGGGAGGGTTAGTAACCCAGGATAACCCAATAAAGTCAGGATGTCATCGAGGACTGTCTTGTTACCATAAAGGTCGTTGTGTGTTGCAAGAGGACTAGTGGTGTTGAAAACACTGGAACCCCGAAGAGCTCTTGATGCGAGGAATCGGAGCTATTTTATCCTTGCATTAAAACTTGATTTCCACCCTTGCTCCAGAAACTTCATAACCCTTCCCCCTTACGGGTTTAGCGTTCCCGCACACACGTGACAGTGGCGGTAGGCAATGAAATTAGATTTAAGGAGAGGGGTAACTATAATTCCTTGAATCAAGAGTCTTCCTCTGGCATTAAGACAATCCCTTTGCAGGAAGTGAATACCGAGTAATATACAGGGTGTGTCAAAAAGATGTATCCAATTTCCAAGGAATACTGCTTTGAAATTTGGTCTATTTCTTTGAAACACCCTGTATATGCTCATTACTCCCCTCAAGGGGGAGGGGGGCTCTTGATCCATGGACTTCAATCAGTGCTCCAGTTCCACGAATAAATTCTAGAGGCCTTCCATTTCCCTCAGGCACTGTGTGACCCCTACAGGTTGCTCAGGGCAAGCAACATACTCTTGTCACTACTGATGAGTTGATGAATAAGACGTGTTGAACATGTGTTGAACGTGTGTTGAACGTGTGTTGAACGTGTGTTGAACGTGTGTTGAACGTGTGTTGAAAGTGTGTTGAACATGTGTTGAACGTGTGTTGAACATGTGTTGAACGTGTGTTGAACATGTGTTGAACGTGTGTTAAACGTGTGTTGAACGTGTGTTGAGCGTGTGTTGAACGTGTGTTGAATGTGTGTTGAACGTGTGTTGAACGTGTGTTGAACGTGTGTTGAACGTGTGTTGAACATGTGTTGAACGTGTGTTGAACGTGTGTTGAACGTGTGTTGAACGTGTGTTGAACGTGTGTTGAATGTGTGTTGAACGTGTGTTGAATGTGTGTTGAACGTGTGTTGAACGTGTGTTGAATGTGTGTTGAACGTGTGTTAAACACATGTTGAACGTGTGTTGAACGTGTGTTGAATGTGTGTTGAACGTGTGTTGAACACATGTTGAATGTGTGTTGAACGTGTGTTGAATGTGTGTTGAAAGTGTGTTGAACACGTGTTGAACGTGTGTTGAACGTGTGTTGAACGTGTGTTGAACGTGTGTCTGATTCACTAATCTATCCTTATTTGAACTATTTTGTCAGCAAACAAAACTAACTGTTAACAGATCACAACTCTGTAAATAGACCATTACCTCTGTAACACTGGGATCCCTGGACCCATTCTGTTCCTCTGTAATCTTCTGAATACCACACACACATCATGGGTATGGAGGGAGTGCACACAAAAATATTAAACTAACTTTTTTTTTACCAGTTTTTCATTCATCCTTAAACCATTTTGCGTCTTTCACTTACTTGAAGACGTTCTCCTCCAGGTAAATGATATCAACAACCTCGGAATAATGTGTGCTGGTGATGTCTTCTTGAATCTTGATGAGAATGGGCTGTGGGTACTGGCTGGAGTCTGCCTCACCTCCATCCTCACGCCACCCTGACTGTGAGGAGACACAAACACACGTTATTAAGACAATTAGTACAACCACACTGAGTGGCTACCCTGATCTATATGAAATTTTACAGTGTTAGCGAAACAAGTTAACTTCGTTTGTCTAATACGGCCTTTACGCGCGATGGTGGTTTTCCTGTCATACTTCATCACACAGAGTAAGTTTTCTGTCTGACTCCATCACCAAGAATAGTTTAAAAGAGTAATGAAAAGTGTCAGTCTGAGGTGGTAGACTTCAGTAGTGTCAGCCTAAGTGGCAGACTTCAGTGGGGCGATGAGGATATTGTCAAGTATTTCACTATACAGTCGTTTCAATACTTCTTGGTTCACTATAATTTCATTAGCAGTGGGTCTACTATAGTTCAGTAGCTGTGGATTGCTAGAGGCACCATATACGTAGGTGAACGCTAAAACTTTTTGTCAGAAGAGCTGAACTTTATTTTATATAAGACATACTACTGCCATTGGCATATTTCACATCTATACTAAAAGACAGTAACACCAAAACATCCTTCTCGTACAATAGTTGTTAAAGTGAAAGGAGTGGGTCAGATGGTGCTGTCACCCCTGGTGCTGGTGCTGTCTTGGAGGACAGTACTTGTAAGAATATAGAAATGAAAGTCAGTGTACCAAATAGAGATAGGGTCCTGGTGCTGGGAAAACATGTATAGACAAAGATATGCGAATTCCAGAGTTACAAAATCGCAATACTAATGGAGATGAAAAAAAAATGGGAAGATGCTTCTGGGAAGAGTGCTAATACATTACCAGAAAAAACTAGTGGAGGCACTGACGATAGTACAGGTGCTGTAGATAGTGCGGAGTCAGAAAAATGCTCCAGTAGGGAGAGCAGCCACAAAAAAATCCTGGCAAACAAAAATCATATCTATGTAAATTTTATGCCTTGGCATGGAATATTTGGGATGTGCAACTTTGACTATCCCAAAAAATGCCGCACCAATATGACAATTGGAGAATGCAGCTCTTCTTGTTGTAATTTATTTTATAATGAAATGTGTTACTCGTCAGTCTATGAAAGACAATGTTACAGCACATACCGTCAGGCACACCATCTAAAGGGGATACAGATCACTCAGACCATGGGAAACAAACCAGGCAAGCCACAATCACTCCAAAAATTATAGAAATCTTACACCAACTCGGAACACTTCTGGAGTGGAGGCACAGTCAGCGGCCTCCACTCCAAAACAACAGACATTAGTCCCAGCAAACAAAGCCCTTCTACATACCATCAATACGAGGACATTTATAAACCATACCACGGGCTGGGATAGAACCCGCGATCAGAGAGTCTCAAAACCCGTGGTATGGTTTGCAATCGTGTCATTACGATTTCGTGAGTCGAGGACATTTATCTTTGCAAATATACAGGATCTAAAGCCATCAACAAACAACAAAATGCCTTTCATAAGTGGACTGCTCACAGTCAAATGCAATGTTTGTGGCTTTCAAAGAGACCCAAATAAAGGAACACTTTGACAACGAAATATGGATCCTAGGTTATAGCCTGTTTAGATGCGACAGTAAACAGGCAACAAGGGGACGTTGGTCCTGTATGTCACCCATTTGCTCGGAACTACTAAACACTTCAAACGATGTAGTCGAAGTTTTGGCAGTAAAAGTTGAAAACCAAAACCTTGTCATTATGGTTGTATACAAGCCTTCTGATACTACTTTCCGATAATTCCAGAAACAGCTCTTGAAAAGTGGCCACTGATTAGAAAATCTCCCAACTCCTGCCCCAAACATCTTGCTACTGGGGAATTTCAACATAAGTCACCTAAAATGGAGGAGTGTAACAAATAACGTTTTAGCAAACAGTGGAGCCAACAAGACTGGAAAATACACTGGACCTCACTTTCACTAATAATGATGATATGATTCGAATTATAACAGTATCACTCAGCTCACAACATAATAGAGGTACAGACATGTATGCGCAGGGCTCCTGACCAGCATAAGGTGATCAGTTATGATGGTGCTTTCACCAAATTCAACTTCAGTAACAAGAACATACAGTGAGATCAAATCAGCCATGTTCTAAGTGAAGCAAGCTGTGACAATATCCTAAACAACACGGATCCTAACCTTCGCATAGAAGGCTAGGGTCCTTGAGGTATGCTCAAGGCACATTCCTGTAAGAATAATAAGAGAAGATGTAAACTAGAAAGAGACGCTTCCAATACAGGCGAAGGCGAAGAATCACAGAGCTGCTGAAAGTGGCCAGCATATCTGGAATACGAGAAGAGGCAGTGGGAGGAGAAATAACAAATATCGAACTTAAGCTTAAGGAATCATACAAGAGACAAGAAACTCGGGAAGAACCTACAGCCGTAAATGAAACTGAAAGAACCCCAAAATCTAGGGCAAAAACAGCATCCAGTATTGGACCCCCTGCTGAGACGAGATGGAACTTACACAGAGGACAGCAAAGAAATGAGTGAGATACTTAAGTCCCAATATGACTCGGCGATTAGTGAGCCGTTAACCAGACTAAAAGTCGATAATCTAAACGATTCTTTTTTATGGCCGAGACTCAAAATTAGGTTAATTAAAAAATCTCTGCTATTATCATAACACCACAAGACATCGAAAAAAGCAATAAATGACATGCCTATGCACTCTGCCCCAGGGCCCAGATTCGTGGAACTCCGTGTTCATCAAGAACTGCATGAAGCCCCTTTCACTTACCTTTAGCATTCTATGGAGAAGAAACATGGACACAGGAATCATTCCACAGTCACTAAAAGCAACAGACATAGCCCCACTCCACTAAGGTGGCAGTAAAGCAATTGCAAAGAATTACAGACTGATAGCACTAACGTTCCACATCACAAAAATCTTTGAAAGGGTTCTAAGACACAAGATCGCCAGCCACTTAGATACCCATCAGTTACACAACCCAGGGCAACATGGATTTAGAGCAGGTCGCTGCTGCCTATCCCAACTACTGGACCACTACGACATGGTCTTGGATGCTATGGAGAACTAATACAATGCAGATGTAGTATACACAGACTTTGTGGAAGCCTTCGACAAGTGCGATCATGTTGTAATAGCACAGAAAATGCGTGATAAATGAATAACAGGAAAAGTTGGTAGATGGATCTATAACTTCCAAACAAATAGAAAACAATGAGCAATAGAAAACAGAGTCAAGTCTGAGGCGGCTACAGTGAAGAGCTCTGTTCCACAAGGCACAGTACTCGCTCCCATCCTGTTCCTCATCCTCATATCTGGCATAGACAGGGATGTAAGCCACAGCACCGTGTCTACCTTTGCCGATGATACCCGAATTTGCATGACAGTGTCCTCCATTGCAAGACTCCAGGCGGACATCAACCAAATCTTTAAATGGGCCGCAGAAAACAATATGAAGTTCAATTATGAGAAATTTCAATTACTCCGATATGGAAAACGTTGAGGAAATTAAAACTATATCGGAGTATAAAACAAATTACAACCACACAATAGAGTGAAAAAATAATGTAAAAGACCTGGGAGAGATAATGTCAGAGGATCTCACTTTCAAAGACCACAACATTGTATCAATCGCATCTGCTAGAAAAATGAAAGGATGGTTAATGAGAACCTTCAAAACTAGGAATGCCAAGCCCATGATGACATTTTTCAGGTTGCTTGTTCTATCTAGGCTGGAATATTGCTGCACACTAACAGCACCCTTGAAAGCAGGTGAAATTGCTGACCTAGAAAATGTACAGAGAACCTTTACGGGATACATATCAGCGATAAAACATCTCAGTTACGGGGATCGCTTGAAATTCCTCAACCCATACTCCCTAGAAAGCAGGAGGGAGAGATACATGATTATATATACTTGGAAAATCCTAGAGGGATTATTCCCAAACTTGCACACAAAAATCACTCCCTATGAAACCAAAAGACTCGGCAGACGATGCAACATCCCCCCAGTGAAAAGCAGGGGTGTCACTAGCACGATAAGAGACTACACAATAAGTTTGAAGGGCCCAAGACTTTTCAACCGCCTTCCAGCATACATAAGGGGGATTACCAATAGATCCCTGGCTGTATTCAAGGAGGAGCTGGACAGGCACCTAAAATCAATATCTGACCAGTTCGTACATCGAGTTGCGTGCTGTCAACAGTAACAACGTGGTTGATCAGGCCCTGATTCATCATGAGGCCTCTTCATAGACCAGGCCGTGGGGGCGTTGACTCCCGAAACTCTCTCCAGGTATACTCCAATTTGGAAAACTCGAGAAAATTAAAACCTGAATCGGAGTATAAAACAAATTTCGACACACAATTGAGCAAAAAAAATAATGTGAAGGACCTGGGAGTGATAATGTCAGAGGATCTCACTTTCAAAGATCACAACAATGTATCTACCATATTTGCTAGGAAAATGATAGGATGGATAATGAGAACCTTCAAAACTAGGGATGCCAAGCCTATGATGATTCTCTTCAAATCACTTGTTCTCTCTAGGCTGGAATATTGCTGTACACTAATGGCACCTTTCAAGGCAGGCAAAATTGCAGACCTGGAGAATGTACAGAGAACTTTCACGGCATGTGTAAGTACGATAAAGCACCTAAATTACTGGGAATAGTTGAAGGCCCTTGATTTGTACTCCCTGGAATGTAGGCTAGAAAGGTACATAATATACACTTGGAAAATTCTAGAGGGATTAATCCTAGATCTGCACACGGAAATCACTCCCAACGAAAGCAAAGACTCAGTAGGAGATGGAACATCCCCCCCACTGAAAAACAGGGGCGGCACGAGTACATTAAGAGAAAACACAATAAGTATTTGGGGCCCATGATTGTTCAACTGCCTCCCAACATACATAAAGGGGATTACCAATGGACCCCTGGGTGTCTTCAAGAAGGCACTGGACAGGCACCTAAAGTCAGTACCTGATCAGCCGAGCTGTGGTTCGTACGTCGGTCTGCGTGCAGCTAATAGTAACAGCCTGATTAATCAGGCCCTGATCCACCTCGAGGCCTGGTCACAGACCGGGCCGCGGGGGCGTTGACCCCAGGAAACCCTCTCCAGGTATACTACAAGTATACATTTAGGGGGAAAGATGAGAATATCACACAAAAAATATATAAACTTGTACATTCACATACAAGCATTTGTATTCACACATTTACACATATACGTAAGAAGAAATACATATATACATACATATTTATATACACACAAGATGTTATTGATGAGAGAATTTGGTGTAAGGGGAGACAAAAAAATGTTAGAAGTAAATTATTATTATTATTATTATTATTTATTATTATTATTATTATTAATTATTATTATTATTATTATTATTATTATTATTATTATTATTATTATTATTTATTATTATTATTATTATTATTTATTATTTATTATTATTATTATTTTTTTATTATTATTATTATTATTATTATTATTATTATTATTATTATTATTATTATTATTATTATTATTATTATTATTATTATTATTATTTATTATTATTATTATTATTATTATTATTATTATTATCCTTAAAACTTCAGCTCTTCCCTGTGATTTTAACAATAATTTAAACGTAGTTGATAAATAAGACGTTTTTAATTAACCTTGACAAATTTGTCAAGACTAAGGGACCGAACACCTGGAATGGCAGAGAGACTGAATATTGAACAAGGCTGGGCACCTCAAAATTAAATTTCCACATCTTCCAATACATATTCGCCATATTGGATTGAAAAAAGCTATTTGTTTCTGAAAATGTCTCATAAATAAAGAGAGTCAGGTGTTGTACCTGTGTTTTCTTCACCAGCTTGTGGGTAGTGTGCCATTATTGTGATAGTGAAAGTGTTGTGGGATGACGCTGGACTAACCTGAAGGAAGTAGATTTCGTAGAGTAAGAAGTTATGCAAGGTGCCATTATCAATGTTGAAGTCTAGACGACCCATCCACACATCACAAGGCAGCTGCCTCGCGTATTTCTGCAACACAACAACTTGGTAAAACAGACATGTGAGCAAGTTATGCGGGTATTAATTCATTTGTCGATCATAACAGGCCGCAGTAGGTCAGGTTGGTCCAGGACCACACTCAACGTGCTAAAGTAGGTCAGGTTGGTCCAGGACCACACTTACCATGCTGAAATAGGTCAGGTTGGTCCAGGACCACACTCACCGTGCTGAAGTAGGTCAGGTTGATCCAGGACCACACTCACCGTGCTGAAGTAGGTCAGGTTGGTCAAGGACCACACTCACCGTGCCGCAGTAGGTCAGGTTGGTCCAGCACTACAATCACCATGCCGCGGTACGTCAGGTTGGTCCAGGACCACACTCACCGTGCTGAGGTAGGTCAGGTTGGTCCAGAACCACACTCACCGTGCTGAAGTAGGTCAGGTTGGTCCAGGACCACACTCACCGTGCTGAAGTAGGTCAGGTTGGTCCAGGACCACACTCACCGTGCCACAGTAGGTCAGGTTGGTCCAGGGCCACACTCACCGTGCTGAAGTAGGTCAGGTTGGTCCAGGACCACACTCACCGTGCTGAAGTAGGTTAGGTTGGTCCAGGACCACACTCACCATGCTGAAGTAGGTCAGGTTGGTCCAGGACCACACTCACCGTGCTGAAGTAGGTTAGGTTGGTCCAGGACCACACTCACCATGCTGAAGTAGGTCAGGTTGGTCCACGACCACACTTGCCGTGCTGAAGTAGATCAGGATGGTCCAGGACCACACTCACCATACTGCAGTAGGTCAGGTTGGTCCAGGACCACACTCACCGTGCTGAAGTGCGTCAGGTTGGTCCAGGACCGCACTCACAGTGTCGTAGCAGGCAAGTTGGTCCAGGACCACACTCACCGTGCCATAGTAGGTCAGGTTGGTGACATGACCCAGACCGAAGAGTTTGAGAGGATCCTTGATGGTCACGTGACCCGAGGGGTCAGTGATGGTGTCGTAATTGTTAGGGATGGGAATGGTAGTGCAGTTACCCAGAGACTTGTCAACGATGTACTCGACCCCACTGTGGAAGTCCTGGAATAACAAGACTGAGGTGAGACACAATACACTGTGGGAGTCCTGGAATAACACGACTGAGGTGAGACAAGATACACTATGGAAGTCCTGGAATAACACGACTGAGGTGAGACAAGATACACTATGGAAGTCCTGGAATAACACGACTGAGGTGAGACACAATGCACTGAGGAAGTCCTGAAATAATAACTGATCCACAATAAAATGGCTGGCACAATTAACAACTGACCCACAATACCATGACTGGAACAATTCACAGCTAACCCACAATACCATGGCTGGAACAATTCACAACTGATCCACAATACCATGGGACAAACAATTAACAACTGACTCACAATATCATGGCTAGAACAAGTAACAACTGACCCACAATGCCATGGCTGGTACAATTCACAACTGACCCACAATACCATGGCTGTAACAGTCAATAACTGATCCACAATAAAATGGCTGGAACAATTAACAACTAAGCCACAATACCATGGCTGGAACAGTTAATAAGTGACCCACAATACCATGGCTGGAAGAATTAACAACTGACCCACAATACCATGGCTGGAACAATTCACAACTGACCCACAATACCATGGCTGGAACAATTAACAACTGACCCACAATACCATGGCTGGAACAATTAGCAACTGACCCACAATACCATGGCAGGAACAATTCACAACTGACCCACAATACCATGGCTGGAACAAATAACAATTGACCCACAATACCATGGCTGGAACAATTCACAACCCACCATACATTGGCATGAACAATTAACAACTGACAATACCATGGCTGGAACAATTCACAACAAACCCACAATACCGTGGCTGGAACAATTAACTGACCCACACTACCATTGCTGGAACAATTAAAAACTAACCCACAATACCATGGCTGGAACAATTCACACCTAACCCACAATACCATGGCTGGAACAATTCACAATTGACCCACAATACCATGGCTGGAACAATTCACAACTGACCAACAATACCATGGCTGGAACAATTAACAACTGACCCACAATACCATGGATGGAACAATTCACAACTAACCCACAATATCATGGCTGGAACAATTCAAACTGTCTACCATCTTACTAGCATATTATAACCAAGTCTTTGCCATTTTTATTTTTATCAATTCTTTTTTTTATTATTATCTTGCTACCTTAATTTGTGTATTTTATCCTGTGCCCATGCCGGGGACTACCTAGATGGTAATTTCCCTAATTCCTTCTATCTTGCACCAACTGAGCCCACGGAAGTCATTGGGATCATAAAGTCACTTAAAAATAACTCGGGGAATCTGTCTCATGTCCCACCATTACTGTACAAGCGAGCGGCCCATGTCCTTTCGCATGCTATTTCATTACTTTTTAACAAGTCAATAGAGACTAGCACCTTCCCGAAACTACTCAAGATGGCAAGGGTTACACCAATACATAAAGGTGGTGACCCTACAGACTTAAACAACTATAGGCCAATATCTAACTTACCATTGCTATCCAAAATCTTCGAGAAACTCGTGTACAAGAGACTGTATTCATTTATAACGGCTCAAAACATACTCAACCCCTGCCAGTTTGGATTCAGGAAAAATAAAAGCACTAATGATGCAATCATAAAAATGCTAGATCTGCTTTACACAGCATTGGAAAATAAGGAATACCCACTAGGAATTTTTATTGACCTAAGAAAAGCTTTTGACACAGTAAACCACCAAATCCTACTCCACAAACTTGACCACTACGGTATAAGAGGCCATGCGCTTGCTTATTTCAAATCTTACATTACTAATAGGTATCAGTACGTCACCGTTAAAGACACAGCATCAGCAACACGGCCACTTGATACTGGAGTTCCGCAGGGAAGTGTCCTTGGTCCCCTGCTCTTCCTCATATACATCAATGACCTTCCAAACGTATCCCAACACCTGAAACCCATTCTCTTTGCTGATGACACGACTTATGTCATCTCTCACCCTAATCTTGCCACCCTCAACACCATTGTGAATGAGGAGCTGATTAAAATATCGACTTGGATGACAGCCAATAAACTTACGCTTAACACTGACAAAACTTACTATATTATGTTTGGTAGCAGAGCAGGAGATGCACAAATTAACATTAAGATTGACAACACTCTAATTACCAGAAATAATGGGGGAAAATTCCTAGGCTTATACCTTGACAACAACCTGAATTTCAGCACCCATATCCAGCATATAGCCAAAAAAGTATCCAAAACGGTTGGGATCCTCTCCAAGATACGATACTACGTGCCGCAAAATGCCCTTCTCACACTATACCACTCACTTATTTATCCATACCTCACCTATGCTATTTGTGCTTGGGGATCAACTGCAGCAACACACCTAAAGCCAATAATAACCCAACAAAAAGCTGCAGTAAGAATAATCACTAAATCCCATCCCTGGCAGCACACCCCCCCCCCACTCTTCAAAGATCTAAACTTACTCCCAGTTCAGTACATCCACACTTACTACTGTGCAATCTATATCTACAGGGCCTTAAACTCTAATATCAACCTTGACCTAAAACGCTTTCTTGATAGTTGTGACAGAACCCACAGGCATAACACCAGACACAAACATCTCTACGACATTCCCCGTGTCCGACTAAACCTTTACAAAAATTCAATGTATGTCAAAGGCCCTAAAATCTGGAATACCCTACCTGAGAACTCTAGAACTGCAGACACATTCATCACCTTCAAAACTACCATTAGAAAACATCTTATCTCCCTGATACACCCCGTCAACTAACTACACGACTACCACCTGGTGGTTCACACTTACACTGGCTCACTCATTTGACCATAAACAGAAATATTAATCTCAGTCTTAAAATAATGAATCCTGTGATACTCCAATACTGAAACTATATACTGTGCCAAAACAAAAGCATTCACATTGCTAAACTCATAAACTAGTATTTAGTCACTTAGCCATAATACCAACTTACCTCATAATTTGTAATATTTTACAATTAAGAATAAAACTAAGTATGCCCGAAATGCCTAGCCATGCTAAGCGTTCTAGTGGTACACTCTGTAATCACAATTTTACTACATGTAAACCAAACAATAACCAAATTTCTGTAAACTCAGCATTGTAATCCTTATAGAGAATAAACTTTGAATTAACAACTCACCCACAATACCAATGCTGTAACAATTAACAATTGACCCACAATACCCTGGATGGAATAATTCATAACTGAACCACATTACCATGACTGGAACAATTAATAACTGACCTACAATACCATGGCTGGAACAATTAACAACTGACCCACAATACCATGGCTGGAACAATTAACAACTGACCCATAATACCATGGCTGGAACAATTAACAACTAACAATACCATGGCTGGAACAATTAACAACCGACCCACAATACCCTGGCTGGAACAATTAACAAATGACCAACAATACCATGGCTGGAATAATTCGAAACTGACCCATAATACAATGATTGGAACAATTAACAACTGACCCACAATACCATGGCTGGAACAATTAACAACTGACGCACAATACCATGGCAGGAACAATTAACAACTGACACACAATACCATGGCTGGAACAATTAAGAACTAACAATACCATGGCTGCAGCAATTAACAACTGACCCACAATACCATGGCTGCAACAATTAACAACTGACCCAGAATACCATGGCTGGAACAATTAACAACTGACCCACAATACCATGGCTGGCACAATTAACAACTGACCCACAATACCATGGCTGGTACAATTAACAACTGACCCACAATACCATGGCAGGAACAATTAATAACTGACACACAATACCATGGCTGAAACAATTAAGAACTAACAATACCATGGCTGGAACAGTTAACAACTGACCCACAATACCATGGCTGGAACAATTAACAACTGACCCACATTACCATGGCTGGAACAGTTAACAACTGACCCACAATACCATGACTGGAACAATTCACAGCTAACCCACAATACCATGACTGGAACAATTAACAACTGACCCACAATACCATGGCTGGAACAATTAACAACTGACCCACAATGCCATGGCTGGAACAATCAACAACTAGCAATACCCTGGCTGGAACAATTAACAACTGACCCACAATACCATGGCTGGAACAATTAACAACTGACCCACAATGCCATGGCTGGAACAATTAACAACTGACCCACAATACCATGGCTGGAACAATTAACAACTGACCCACAATACCATGGCTGGAACAATTAACAACTGACCCACAATGCCATGGCTGGAACAATTAACAACTGACCCACAATACCATGGCTGGAACAATTAACAACTGACCCACAGTACCATGGCTGGAACAATTAACAACTGACCCACATTACCATGGCTGGAACAATTAACAACTGACCCACAGTACCCTGGCTGGAACAATTAACAACTGACCCACAGTACCATGGCTGGAACAATTAACAACTGACCCACAGTACCATGGCTGGAACAATTAACAACTGACCCACATTACCATGGCTGGAACAATTAACAACTGACCCACAGTACCCTGGCTGGAACAATTAACAACTGACCCACAGTACCATGGCTGGAACAATTAACAACTGACCCACATTACCATGGCTGGAACAATTAACAACTGACCCACAGTACCCTGGCTGGAACAATTAACAACTGACCCACAGTACCATGGCTGGAACAATTAACAACTGACCCACATTACCATGGCTGGAACAATTAACAACTGACCCACAGTACCATGGCTGGAACAATTAACAACTGACCCACAGTACCATGGCTGGAACAATTAACAACAATAATATGGCTGGAAAAATTCATAAATATCCCACACTTAGGGAAGGAAATTTATGAGGACGTTTCGGTCCGTCCTGGACCACTGTCACGTCACAGTCGGGAGTGCCTTCCCTTGTGCGCGAAACATCTGACGTCCCGCGAAACACCGAGGGACTCGCCTGGATGACAGCAACCTCAACGAGTCCAGCCACGGCATACTCTTGTGAGTCCACACTAGGGATGTAGTCGGCTCGAGTCAGCTGACGATCATAGTCGTACCAGTTCTGAGGGAGACAGCAGGTCGTTAGAGGTCAGCTGATGGCTTCGAGTGTTTGCTGATGCTGCGATCAGTGTGAGAGCTCGGAGCCTTGACTTAACTCCAGGAAGCGTAAGTACGTGAATACAACAGCACTGAATGAACGGGATAGGCTTAGCGCTTTCAGTGAATGATTAATAATACTAATAACAATTCATTATTATAATGTAGTCTTACCTTAACGATGGAGACCCACTCTTGTTTCTCCTCCAAAGATATCTGGGCAGTAACCTCCACTCTCATAGAGTAAGCATCAGCGAGACGAGAGGGAGGCGCCTTCAGGTCAGGGAGACCTGGACAGTATACATTACTGGGGATCTCAAACGCCCACCGGAGGTTCTCCCAGTTTGGGGAGTCGTCGAAGAGAGCGAAGTTGTAGGTAGTGCTCAGGGGAATAGGGTACGGGTCGCCGTCATTAAGGAAGACTTGGCCAGTAAGCTTCATGGAGATGGGGCGCTCACTCGTGTACCCGTAGAGGTCCAGGACCAGGCTAGGGTCTGGAGGTAAGAGCAGAGTAGTAGGTAGTCAAGGTTCTCGGGTGGTAGTAGCAGTGGTAATGATAATTAAGGTAACCTTTCAATGTATTGTGTATTCACTGACAGTTTCATACCTCTAAGCATATATACACTGATCATCATTCTTAGACACAACACAATGAGACTCTTATCTCTGTGGTATGGCACACACACACACACACACACAATATATATATATATATATATATATATATATATATATATATATATATATTATATATATATATATATATATATATATATATATAACAATTCGCAAACAGGCGAAATTATTTACAAACATTATCTCTACTTCCAAAGCAGGACTCGAACCTGCAAACTCTGTATCAGAGCACTCGCTCCGTGGTAAAGCACTGACTACTTTGGTACAGCGTTTGCAGGTTCGAGTCCTGCTGTGGACATAATGTTTGTAAATAATTGCGCCTGTTTGCTTGAAATGTAAATGTAGTGGTTCATAAAAATTCCTTATGTAATTACCGTACCTTCACCCACCTCTAGTTACAACATTGAGCTTCAATTAGAAAATGTGATTTGCTAAACGAACTAATTCTTGGGTGTGTATGTAGGTGGGTGGCGGCGGGTTCACTGCACTCCGTAACTGGTCAGGCTTTAGTCTGTATGTATTATGTACATTAGTAATAAAAGATAATATTGTTAACAAGCCAAAGAGGCGGAAGTAATAATATAAACATCCGCCGAACATCACCTGCAACACATAATGGTGGTAGCGAGAGTTATTTGGAACCTTCATTTGCAATGTTTCGCCCACACAGTGGGTCTCAAGCCACAGGCATATGGGTGTGACTTAATAGTGTTCACTGGATGGGCAAAACATCGTTGATAAAATATTGACGATGCATGCGTCTCAACACCATGGCATCAGTTTCTCATGCCATTACCTATCCACGTGACACTGGTGTCGTGTGTCAGACTCAGAGGTTCCATCGGAACATACTTTGTCTCATACTGCTTTAGAAGTCAGCTGATTAATTATGGAAAGGAATCACCTCTGCAACACTGGAAAAATAACATCATAAGACAGTGACATATCAACCATCACCAGTACCAGCGTCTATCTTAGGGAAATTGTTCTGTTTTTTAGTGGTGTGGATGACTGGGTATAACGTCTTATTATTTTGCATTATTTTTATTGGTGGACTTGTGAGCCAGCGGAAGGCCTCTATCAAATGACCAAATTCTCCATGAAGTGAGTTAACGTAAGACTTAGACCAACGTCAAGAGATATTTTTCTCGTGTCTTCTGACATGACAGATACCACCACCTCTCACCTAAGCACTGGTACCCCAGGTAGAAGGGCAACACTGTTGACTCACCACTGCACCACTCACCTGACCAATGGTACTCCACATATAAGGAACCATTATCCCTGGTATCGATGCAGGCGTCCCAGCGGTTGCAAGGGATCTCTCTCTCCGTCCCGTTGTCCATCCAAGAGTACCTGAACATCAACCATGGAAGAGATTTAAAGAGGTCGTCACCTGTTTCTCTGACACTAGGAACAATTTAAACCTAAACACTGACTGAGACTATTTTGTGAAATAACAAATAAGACACTTTCTGCGTAGATCTACGTTACTGACACCAGTGTCACTTACATAGATCTACACTACTGACATCAGTGTCACTTACATAGATCTACACTACTGACATCAGTGTCACTTACATAGATCTACACTACTGACATCAGTGTCACTTACATAGATCTAGACTACTGACACCAGTGTCACTTACATAGATCTACACTACTGACATCAGTGTCACTTACATAGATCTACACTACTGACATCAGTGTCACTTACATAGATCTACACTACTGACATCAGTGTCACTTACATAGATCTACACTACTGACATCAGTGTCACTTACATAGATCTACACTACTGACATCAGTGTCACTTACATAGATCTACACTACTGACATCAGTGTCACTTACATAGATCTAGACTACTGACACCAGTGTCACTTACATAGATCTACACTACTGACACCAGTGTCACTTACATAGATCTACACTACTGACACCAGTGTCACTTACATAGATCTACACTACTGACACCAGTGTCACTTACATAGATCTACACTACTGACATCAGTGTCACTTACATAGATCTAGACTACTGACACCAGTGTCACTTACATAGATCTACACTACTGACACCAGTGTCACTTACATAGATCTACACTACTGACACCAGTGTCACTTACATAGATCTACACTACTGACACCAGTGTCACTTACATAGATCTACACTACTGACACCAGTGTCACTTACATAGATCTACACTACTGACACCAGTGTCACTTACATAGATCTACACTACTGACACCAGTGTCACTTACATAGATCTACACTACTGACACCAGTGTCACTTACATAGATCTACACTACTGACATCAGTGTCACTTACATAGATCTACACTACTGACACCAGTGTCACTTACATAGATCTACATTACTGACACCAGTGTCACTTACATAGATCTACATTACTGACACCAGTGTCACTTACATAGATCTACATTACTGACACCAGTGTCACTCAGAGGGCCAGCCAAGGCGGGATGTTCATCAACTGATGTAAATCATTGATGTGTATAACTAATGGGTATAATTGATATGGGATTGACGTGTATGACTGACATGATTAACTGACGTGTATGACCGACATGATTAACTGACGTGTATGACTGACATGATTAACTGACGCGTATGACCGACATGATTAACTGACGTGTATGACTGACATGATTAACTGACGTGTATGACCGACATGATTAACTGACGTGTATGACTGACATGATTAACTGACGTGTATGACCGACATGATTAACTGACGTGTATGACTGACACGTTTAATTAAAGTGTATGACTGACATATATAGCTAATATGTATGACGTTAAATTCACTACAACTGATTATATATTCAGATCTTTCAGCATAAACACGTACTGACAGTAACAACTTTCTGCTATAACTTCAAACTTGCTGCTATAGTGACTAATTTACTGTTACATTATATAAATCACCATCTCACGGCAATCACAGTTCTTAGTTCATTATTCCCGTTCTACAAACCATGTAGATAAATCGTCCTGCATAAAATTTTGAAGAAATGGAAAACATCCCAACCAAGTATGCCGAAAACTGCATCTGAATGAGGAGAGAGGGCCACCACCTGGAGATGAGGCTCCCCCTACCCCCATGGAGTGGGGAAGCAAAAATAGCAAGCACAGCTGTGTGCGTCTACACTATTTCGTATGATAGTTACAAGGAGGGAACGCCTGCAGGGTGCAGCAACACTATTCTGTATTATAATTACACTAATTATGTTCCCCTATCATGCTATATTATACAGGATTGATTTCAGACTGTACTAGAATCTGTCATCCTCGTTTGGAAGGTAACATAGTGTCAGGTGGGAATGAAAGATGTGAACCTGTCTGAGCACCTGGTGACTTGGTATTTAATAGTGTGGTACAACACGAGTACGGGGAGGTACATAGAAAGGCTTTGTTACACTTGTAGGCTGTAATTTAACACAGGATGTGCTCTAACACATTCAGAATATATTACAACACAGGTAAGATGTGGCACAACACAGGTAGGGTGTGCCGCAACACAGGTAGGGTGTGCTGCAACACAGGTAGGGTGTGCTGCAACACAGGTAGGGTGTGCTGCAACACAGGTAGGGTGTGCTGCAACACAGGCAGGGTGTGCCGCAACACAGGTAGGGTGTGCTGCAACACAGGTAGGGTGTGCTGCAACACAGGTAGGGTGTGCTGCAACACAGGTAGGGTGTGCTGCAACACAGGTAGGGTGTGCTGCAACACAGGCAGGGTGTGCTGCAACACAAGTAGGGTGTGCTGCAACACAGGTAGGGTGTGCTGCAACACAGGTCATACTTGTAATCTCCACCAAAGAGGAGCGCCCTAGTAGGGGAGATAGCCACGACAGTCTTCGAGGAAGGTGAGGTTACGCTTGCCATCCACGGAGTATTTTCTAGTATCTCTGTCGTCACACATTCCACACTCAACTGCCCGTCTACAATGTCTGAGGAAGGAGACCAACAGTTTCAACACTACAAGCTCCGCAGTCTGATATTTTTACGTATTTTATTTTTGCCTGCTCAGCAGGCTTCTTCAGTCGATATCTAGAGGCTACAGCAGAAGTAATGGCGATGTAGATAGGAAGTGATTAGTCCCACAGCCTTGAAGAAGTGAAGTTTGAGGTGATCAGTCCCTCAGCTAGCTATAAAGTTAGAACACATACACCAAGCCTCAGGGACTGACCACCTTATACCTTCATCGCTATTTCTGCTGTTGGCTTTGTATTTCGACTAAAGATGCCTGCAGAAAAAGCGAAACGTCTCGTCATAGAGATTACCAACTGTTACACATATGTCTCGCTCATGTGTCACACTAATATAGTAATACCAACAAGGAATAAAAATGTTCTTTGAAAAAATACCGAGAGTCAAGAACTTTAGTATCAGAAGATCGTCCAGAGCAGAAACATCGTAGTTAAAAACATTTCCTGTTACTACATAATCTGGTAATTATCAATAAAGCTTGTACAACACATTAAATTTAAATGTATGTGAGCAGTGAGCAACCACTTGGACGGATAAATGTAAACACACAGCTAAAAATTTATTTACATGGTGTGAGAGACTCTTCATCATCTGCTGAAGACGACCTCTGACGCCCAGATATTCACATCTCTTTGACCAGTTTATTTTTTTTATATCCAAATGATTTCTCACTTTTTCATCGATTAGTGTTATGGGTAATATAGAACTGCATGTGCTTTATCGCACTTATGTGTGTCGTGAAAGTTCTCTGTACATTCTCCAGATCTGCAATTTCGCCTGCCTTGAAGGGGGCCGTTATTGTACAGCGGTATTCCAGCCTAGAGAGAACAAGCTATTTGAAGAGAATCATTGTATCACATCATGGTATTACATCTGAGTTTATATATAAGTTTTATAACTTCCCTTGCAATATAACAGCCCTCCAGCCCTCTAACTTGTATTAATTCATGGTTCAAAGTGTCCCCAATTATCACTATTCCAGCTTCGGTCTCCTCCAATCATAACCGGTACTTTGTTTGTATGAAGAAATGATAATTCTCGTGAGGCAAATGTTTGTCACAGGATGAACCGTCCAGCGGAGGTTCTGGTGAATACGACCGTCCAGCGGAGGTTCTGGTGAATACGACCGTCCAGCGGAGGTTCTGGTGAATACGACCGTCCAGCGGAGGTTCTGGTGAATACGACCGTCCAGCGGAGGTTCTGGTGAATACGACCGTCCAGCGGAGGTTCTGGTGAATACGACCGTCCAGCGGAGGTTCTGGTGAATACGACCGTCCAGCGGAGGTTCTGGTGAATACGACCGTCCAGCGGAGGTTCTGGTGAATACGACCGTCCAGCGGAGGTTCTGGTGAATACGATGATGGTATACAATACCGACAGATTGAAAAAAAAACATAGTTCAGCAGTCAGGTAACTATATTCTAAGATTTCTCGCCTCCACAGTAGGCTTCTTCAGTCGAGAACAGAGGAGTTAGCGGAAACAGTAGAGATGTGAAGACGATGTAAACAGTCCATCACCCTAGAAGACATAGTTTTGAGGTGGTCAGTCCCTCAGCCTGGAATAGAGTTGCTCCATAGTCTGGAAAATTGTTATAGATTATAGAGCAACTCTTCTTAATCCTTATTGACTGACCACCTCAAAACTCCGTCTTCAAGGATGATACACTGATTACATCATCTTCACACCTCTACTGTTTCCGCTAACTCCTCTGTACTCGACTGAAGAAGCCTACTGTGGAGGCGAGACATCTCAGAATATAGTTACCTGACTGCTGAATATGTTTCTCATGGAGGTCTTAGTGACGTGAACGAGCTCTTCCTCTGGCTTACTGGCTCACAATGTTAAAATATTAACCATCACATTATGTGATGGCACGATCTTCGCTCTGTTAAAATAATGGATCGTCACATAGTGTCCTTGGGTAAAAAATAATAATTTTTTTTATCTCATTAAAAATTCACATAAAAATGTGGTTCCTTTTTTATGTGTGATTCAAGGCTTTTAATGTTATATCTTACTTGATTTTTTATAGAGTGAACCAGTTAGACAGCGAGAGCCTAGGTCAAGCTGGGTCAAGCTGGGTCAAGCTGGGTCAAGCTAGGTCAAGCTGGGTCAAGCTGGGTCAAGCTGGGTCAAGCTGGGTCAAGCTGGGTCAAACTGGGTCAAGTTGGGTCAAGCTGGGTCAAGCTGGGTCAAGCTGGGTCAAGCTAGGTCAAGCTGGGTCAAGCTGGGTCAAGCTAGGTCAAGCTAGGTCAAGCTAGGTCAAGCTGGGTCAAGCTGGGTCAAGCTAGGTCAAGCTGGGTCAAGCTAGGTCAAGCTGGGTCAAGCTAGGTCAAGCTGGATCAAACTGGGTCAAGCTAGGTCAAGCTGGGTCAAGCTAGGTCAAGCTGGGTCAAGCTAGGTCAAGCTAGATCAAGCTAGGTCAAGCTAGGTCAAACTGGGTCAAGCTGGCTTAAGTAAAGTTTATCTATCTACCTGTTAGTTTAATATCTTTATTAAGCACCCCATACCCACCCTTTGGGAGGTAGTCACACCCTACCCACCTTGTGGGTGGTATTCACACCCTACCCACCTTGTGGGTGGTATTCACACCCTACCCACCTTGCGGGTGGTATTCACACCCTACCCACCTTGTGGGTGGTAGTCACATCCTACCCACCCTGTGGGTAGTAGTCACACCCTACCCACCCTGTGGGTGGTGGTCAAAAGATTACCGAGGTACATAATGGGTTCAGAGACTGGACCGCAAAGTTTTGAGAAATGAATAAGTCACAGTGGTAATTAACTATTTACATGTTAATATTTGGTTACGATCGTTCTGAGTTATCTTGCAGATATGAATTAGGTCACAAAAAATATTACAAAAATATAACTTTATATACATACTTTAACATTTCTGAGTAAGTTGTCTCTACCTGGCGTCTGTCAAACGATCAAAAGCTATCAGTAAGCAGTCTGTCACATGACTATGTTCATATTCCTGCTAACAAACAGTACCATCACCGTCTCTCACTTATATCACATACACGTTTTCTTGTGTTAAATTGATGGTGCTATTGTTTTATCTCAAATTTCCCCTGTTAAATCAAGGTCAGGCAGAACCTGGGGAATGAGAGGTAATCAGGTGTGATCCAGAAGAGAAGGGTAGCTTCATTCCCTTGAATAAACAACCCTTCACTTGCATCAAGGTCCCTCCTTGAAGGATGGACGTGTAGAGAGTCGTTTTGACGTGGAAACAGCATGAACTACATGTACTACAGACACACGTACTGACCCTTATAAGCCATGATGATGACGACTGTGTTAATGGAGTAGTAGTAGAGGACGTGAGTGTAGCTGTCTGAGGCGGTGTCAGTATAGGCCAACACTTGCTCTTCGTACAAGAAGAACTCTTCCATGTAGTGTGTTTGGTTCCAGAGTTCGTCTACTGCTTCTACGTGAGCCACGTAGCTGCCTGGAGGAGACGGTGTGATCGGACCTGTCGATACCACAAACACAGAAAACAAATTTTTAAGGAGAGAAAATCGTGAAGGTCTCGTCAAAATTACTCTGAAATTACCCACAGTTTGAGGTTACCCTCTTCTGTATGATAGTTACATGGTGGGATGCCCACAGTGTGCGTGAGTTACATGGTGGGACGCCCAGATTGTGCGTGAGTTACATGGTGGGACGCCCTTAGTGTGCGTGAGTTACATGGTGGGACGCCCACAGTGTGCGTGAGGTACATAGTGGGACGCCCACAGTGTGCAAAAGTTACATGGTGGGACGCCCACAGTGTGCGTGAGTTACATGATGGGACGCCCACAGTGTGCGGAAACATGGTGGGACGCAAACAGTGTGCGTGAGTTACATGATGGGACGCCCACAGTGTGCGTGAGTTACATGGTGGGACGCCTACAGTGTGCGTGAGTAAACATGGTGGGGCGCCCAAAGTGTGCGTGAGTTACATGGTGGGACGCCCAGATTGTGCGTGAGTTACATGGTGGGACGCCCTTAGTGTGCGTGAGTTACATGGTGGGACGCCCACAGTGTAAGTGAGTAACATGGTGGGACGCCCACAGTGTGCGTGAGTTACATGGTGGGACGCCCACAGTGTACGTGAGTTACATGGTGGGACGCCCATAGTGTGCGCTAATAAACATGGTGGGACGCCCACAGTGTAAGCGAATTACATGGTAGGTCATTTAATAACCCTTTGAGTAGTCGATAGGCTTTCAGCCCATCCAACAACTCTGGTACCAGAAGTAAAATTCGAAAAAGTGATCACGTTTAAGTATGTGTCAGCATCAAATACACATACAATAAACGTCGTCAATCACTCAGTAGATCACACTGCCACAACTCTACCAGCAACCAGGGAGTAAACTCAGGGGATGGGGTCCGCTTCACTAGAACCACTTATTGAGTAGCTCAAAACTATTCCTGTTTAGTCACAAGGTACTGTTTATACAATTACAACTGGTATAGTCATTAACCTGATTTGTATCTTACTAAGAGTGATTTTAACAAGATATTATACATATAAGAGGCAACGCCGGTGAGTACAGTCATAACATTCACTCAAAACACTCATTAAACTCACTCAGAACACTCACTAGAGTCACTCAAAGCATTCATTGTCCCATGTAAAAATGGCCCAACCAAAAATATGAATGAATACACAAAAGGCCTCCCCTCAGGGAAGGTTCCTTGATGTTGGTGAGGGGCTCTTGATTTAGGGAATTGGATCTGTGCTCCAGTTCCCCGAATTAAGCCTGAATGCCTTCAACATCCCCCCCAGGCGCTGTATAATCCTACGGGTTTAGCGCTTCCCCTTGACTATAATAATATAATAATACACAAAAGGCCTATGCGGGATGTGTTTTAGATACTTTGGTTTGATTACTAACTACCACAAGCATAACATTCACAGTGTGCTCCTGAGTTGCTACATTATTCTGCTATGAGAGTTCCATGGAGGGAACACCCACACTGTGCTGGCAGACTGCAGTATTCTGTTCCAGAGTTACGTGTTGAGGAAACAAGCAGCTTTCTGATACATTACTCTACATCAGGGTTACGTTTTGGGGCAAAACGTTAACAGTATTTTACTGTCGTAATCTACCACACAGGATGAGTTTCAAACAAGCAGTAATAAAATATATCATCCAGAGGTTGATGATGAAAATGTCGTCAGTGTTCCACACTGAGTTCAGTAGCTGCGGCAGCGTTACACGTTGTACTCCAGCAGGGCTGGAGTCACTTGTACGTGAAGAGTGAAACTGGATAGGACAGAATAGGAAGAGAAAGTTTGTGAGGTAAAGGGTCAAGGTTTATGGTACACTAATTACATTTCGGTAATTTTAGTCAGATCAAGTTAAGCTGATAAGTTAGTTTTGGAACGAAAATAATAAAAAAAAGTTCCATGCATTGTTATTACTCATAATAAACTTCCTTTCCATCCACATCTACCAATGAATAGGATCATCTTCTGGAAAAAATCTATTTTCAAAAAAGTTGTTGTTTGACCGACTGTGCATAAAAAAATACGGTAGTTACGTAAGTTGGTGTATATATCTCAGTGTATTTACACTCTGAGTTTACTGTAGGTCCTCTTTCAGATATTAAACTATTTTTAATATTAGTGTACAGGTGAAGTGGAACCTTAATGACCCTCGTACAGTCTACAAGTCTTGTGGTTATTACAGCAGCTTCCACTAACATAACTTTTAACCTCACATCGGGTATACGTGCAAAATGTAAACAATAGCTCACGTTTGAGATCAACTCACCGTATTTAGAGTTGAAAAGATTACAAAACAGTTGATCATTAAGTGTAACTTACCGCAGGTATAAGTGAAGGGTGTACAGAATGGATCATCTCTGAGATGTAGACAGTCGACCAGCGTCACCAGGAACACACAATAAACAGCGCGGAGTTTGTACATTGCCTACAAAGTAACACCCTCTTATACTCCCTCTCGGAAGTTCAGAAATGATGAACAACGAACAGTCAGTGAGCTTTGTTGATTATCGAAGAGGTGCCACTAGCTCAATCATTCCAGTATTATACTATATATATACAGTTTCTGGTTCTCCCATGCCAAATTTAATTTCGGATTTATGTAGTGTTAGAGATGACCTAGAACACATTCATTACTTTAAAAGAAATTTTAGTTGACGGCAATGAAATATATCCTAAATTAGCATAAAATTATCCAATGACTTTTCCTGGCCTAACAAGGACGGTGTCACCTCCCAGCGGCAGGTTACGCTCAGATAAGATAGTGATACATCAGCCAGCAGTATCTGCTCTAACAATGGAAAGATATACATGTTTGTGATACCATGGTAGCGCGCGCGCGCGTGTACTCTTAACTCTCTCTCTCTCTCTCTTCTCTCTCTCTCTTTATATATATATATATATATATATATATATATATATATATATATATATATATATATATATATATATTATATATGACTCATGAAATAATTAATAATTTAATGTTTAAATTCTGTGAGTCGCCAGTTAATTTTTTTCATGCATAAATTTCGACATGTTGAGCTCAGATACATAATTGTTACCTTGTGATTACTTATCACTGTTTCCTTAAGCGTAGTGTTATTAGTACATTACTTGTAGTTTCAACTGCACTGGTGTTTATTGTGTAACGTGACGAGAGGATACGAACGATAATATAATAATATCTTTATTTCTACAAGTATATGTACATACTACTATACAGAAAGTCGCAAATTAGGTCAATTTTGTCCCAGGATGCGACCCACGTCAGTCGACTAACACCCAGGTACCTATTTTACTGATGGGTGAATATGGTCAGCAGGTGTCTTAAGGAAACACGTCCTAATGTTTTCCAGCCATACCGAGGATCGATCCCCGGTCCTCAGCGTGTGAGCTGAGTACGCTAGTAATCGAGCTACGGGAATAAAGAAAGAATGGGGAGGAAGAGGAGGAGAGAGAGAGAACATGAATGGGATGTTGTTGTATTATTGCCACACTGGAGAGACAAGGATGAATATTTACTCGTACTGAGCTTAAAATAATTGGGGACAGTGCGACGTTTTGCTCACACGTATGATAAAAGAGCCACACAAATTACAGAACAAGATTCGTGACAACGTTTCACTATATAGAGCTTCATGACTTGATAGGCTCTAAAGAGAGGGAAATGTCGTCGTAATAAAAGTTTGTTCTGGTGGTATAAATTGCTGGCTAGACATGCACTGCAAGGAACTTACAATCCCATGCAATTCATTGATAACTGGGACAAACTTTTTGGCAAGCATGATATGTATGCAAGGGAAGGGGTTCATCTCTCTGGGGCTGGAGTGGTTGCATTAGCCAATTCGATTGAGAGGATCATTGATGACTTGTCTGGGAATTTACACAAATAGATTACAGAGGTATGAGTGTTTGTGGGAAACAATCAGGCTACAGTATAAGGGTTGATAACAGCAGATATTAACAGGATACCCCAGGAATAAGTTTAAAAGACAATATTCAAAATAAAGTTGCTAGTAAAGGCAAAGCAACTGCTCAACAAAGAAAGAAAGATAGTAAAGGGCAACGAGTGACTAGGGGGGAGGTGTGAAAAAAATTTTCAGCGCTCTCAAGAAAAATTCGAAAATTTATGAAAATGAGTTATTCATATAGAAAAATAGCAACACAATGGTACAAGAATCAATGTTCTACAACGTTTCTACATGAAATTATAGTCATTTATATCAGGTATGGTGGCGGCGATGAAGGTAGCGCGTCTGTTCTCAACCCATGTATTTTTTGGAATTTTTTCCTTGTTTTTTATCGCTTTTTCTTTGCATTATTCTTTCTAATATAATAATTGATTATTTGGCATCATATAAGAGTAGGTGGAGCTTATCAATAGACGTCTAGCCTATCGGGAAGCACCTAGGTACACTCGGCAGTGCTCCCTCTCCAGAGAGTGCCAGGTGAAATCACTTCATTATTACGCTTATATCAGCTTATATATTAACTATACGGCTTATTTATCTATCAGAATTGATCTAATATGATATAATAATCACTGTAAATAACAAACAAACATGTTATATACTCTAGATTGAATAAAATAGGCAATAATATAGCGAGAGTCCACCAGCAATATCTCGATATAAAAAAGTTACTCCTCGTCTCCATGTTGTATTGTTTGGTCTGTGAGTGAGAGAAAACGATGTTTTGAGGAGGGTAACTGCACTAGAACATCAGTTTACTAAGAAATACACCGAAACAAACGCGATTTTCGCGAAAAAATAAAAAAAAAATTTTGACGGTAGGCCTGCCGGCGTTCTAGGCCTATATATCGGAAGTAACTTATTCACTTATTTCGCTAACCAGCACCATTATTAATGATTGTATTGAAATGATTTTCACAGACAATATAAAACAAAGTGTGTTTTAAATTTTAATGATAGATTTTTTGGAATATCTCAAATATTTTTGATTTTGTGGGGGGTAAAAGGCAGATGTTTTGGTGAATGCCAAGAATTCTGTCAAATGTATTTTTTTTTTACCATGATAATAAGATATATTAGATGAAATGGCAATGTAAAAAATTCGTGCTAGTTGTATTCTAACAGTTGGGAATGTCGGAAGTGCCACTCGTAGTGCCAATTTGTCGGGATGCTGCCATATATCAAAATTATGTTAATATTTTTTTTCTATGTTGTTTGTTGGCCAATCATACTGAAACTTTGTCACATTAAACTATATATGCACCTCTAAAAGTACACCAAAAATAAAATAAATCGGTTGAAAACAAAAATATAGTCCCTCACTCCCCCCTTAAGGTTTACTATACAAATAGTAGGAGTCTAAGAAATAAGATAGATGAGTTAAGATTACTTGCAAGTGCAGGAAATATAGTTATTATTGCTATAACAGAGACCTGGTTCAACTTGGCAGAGAGAGAAATGTCTTCTGAATGCAACATACAGGGTTATAAACTATTCCACACTGATAAGGTCAACAGGAAGGGTAGTGGAGTGGCGATATATGTCAAAGATAATTTAAATTCTTGTGTTAGACAAGATATAAGATTAGAAACATCGGACACCATCTGATTGGCTACAGTTTCTCGAAGGTCATGAAAAATTAATTTTGGGTGTGATTTATAGGCCCCCAAACCTTGACAGAGAGTGCAGTAGGCTGCTATGGGACGAAATTCATAAGGCGTCTAGATATGAAAATGTTGTGTTAATGGGAGATTTTAACTTTAGACAAATTGATTGGAACAATATGACAGGAAATCTTGAGTCTAGTGACTTTCTTGATACGGTTCAGGATTGTTTTTTAAAACAGTTTGTGACAGAACCAACTAGAGGAAACAATCTGGTTGACTTGGTTCTTGCCAACAAAGATTCACTAATTAATAATCTTGAGGTTAATGATGAGCTTGGGGAAAGTGATCACAAATCACTTAGTTTCAATATATCATGGAATTACCCAGATAATTGCAATCAAGGATTCTTTCAGGTATACAGAAGTAAGATTAGGGATAAGATAGGCCCACTTAAGAGTAACTCAGGTCAGATCACTGACAGTGATAAGGTGATATTTTGGTGTCATTTGCTGATGACACCAAAATAGGCCGTCCAATTCATTCTAATGAGGACACTAGAGCACTCCAGGATGATTTGAATAGACTGATGCAATGGTAGGAGAAGTGGCAGATGCATTTTAATATAGACAAATGCAAAGTTCTAAATGTTGGACAGGAGAATAACCATGTGACATATAAACTAAATAATGTAGATCTTAATTGCGAAAAGGATTTAGGAGTTCTGGTTAGCAGTAATCTAAAACCAAGACAACAGTGCATTAGTGTTCGCAATAAAGCTAACAGAATTCTTGGCTTCATATCTAGAAGTATAAATAATAGAAGTCCTGAGGTTGTTCTTCAACTCTATATATCCTTGGTTAGGCCTCATTTAGACTATGCTGCTCAATTCTGGTCACCGTATTACAGAATGGATATAAATGCTCTGGAAAACGTACAGAGGAGGATGACAAAGATGATCCCATGTATCAGAAATCTTCCATATGAGGACAGACTGAGGGCTCTGAATCTGCACTCTCTAGAAAGGCGTAGAATTAGAGGAGATATGATTGAGGTGTATCAATGGAAAACAGGAATAAATAAAGGGGATGTAAATAGCGTGCTGAAAATTTTCAGCCAAGACAGGACTCGCAGCAATGGTTTCAAGCTGGAAAAATTCAGATTCAGGAAGGACATAGGAAAGCATTGGTTTGGTGATACAGTTGTAGATGAGTGGAACAAACTCCCGAGTACAGTTACTGAGGCTAAAACGATGTGTAGTTCTAAAAATAGGTTAGATAAATATATGAGTGGGTGTGGGTGGGTGTGAGTTGAACCTGACTAGCTTGTGCTACTAGGTCAAATGCCGTGCTCCTTCCTTAGGTGAATGTGACTGACCTGACTAGGTTAAGGCATTGGCTTAAACCGGTGGGAGAATTGGACCTGCCTCGCATGGGCCAGTAGGCCTGTTGCAGTGTTCCTTATTTCTTATGTTGTGTTCCATGTTAACTCTTTCTCCTCACACAGACAGTTATAGATGGATGGAGTGTCTGCAGTCTAGTGGCTCTGTCAGTTGAAAGAATATGTACATGGGTAGCTAGCTAATTGGGTTTCAAGCCCATCTACTACATGAGGGTCATTAAAGCATCACGCAACATACTCACCACCAGTCAAAAATACTTTATTCCCAAAACAGGGAATTTAGAGCAATACACAAATACCCTCACGTTTCGGCTTTTCGGTTCAACTTCCACCATTAACTAATGACTAGTTAATGGTCCAAGTCGGACCGAAACGTCGCTATAAGTTCTATTCTCCTATATGCTGGTTACTTGTGTATTATTCCAGTCACGGTATTGTGCCTTTTTGTTCATGATTGTAGTCAGTGTAGCGTGTATACCTACACTGAGAGTGTACACTTCCAAGTGTACGTATTCTTGTACATGGTACGATATTAATGAACATTTTCTGAACATCACGTTGTTTTAAACGAAGTGACTCATTCATATATAAATCCCAGTTTTTGACGGGCGTTGAATAAAATATAAATTAATCTCTCTTTCTATTGAAAAAGAAAGTGAGATAGCTTTCTAAAATTTAGGGAGAACTTGTGTTAAATATATTCATCTGTCGATTTTTTTTACATGCGCAAATAAGTT